ACAAGATTAATTGTTTCAAAAGCGATCACAACTGCCTGACAATAATCAATGAATTGAAACAAAGACACCCACACCACAACATACATAGCAAGATTTACATGAAATTATTGTTGATGTATCTTTTCACAATCAATGGTTTTTATTCTTATCTTTAAAACAATGCGAAAACCAAAACTGACATCCTACAAATAATAGTTTCGTATTCATATATGCTCAGACAGAACGTTTTTGGTATTTTTATGTACTAGTAATACTAATAGTATCGAATGTCTGGCTTGATAAAATTATGCCATTGCAATATGTACACTCACAGAAAAACATAAACAAAAGAAAAACTTTTAAAAGACGAAATGTTCAATGATAAATCCATACCACAAACATCCTTTGTTCCATTTTAAACTACTATACATAGTTTTCTTTTAAATATACTAAATATTGAGTCGAGAAATGTTGCAATAAAATATTTAGTCATTTTTTGACCAGACCAATTAAGAGAAGACCCATAGAAATTTTACAATATTGTTTTTCTGTCAGAACCTTGTGTTCTTTCCGCATGACGGTTCGAATTTTTCATAGAATATTTAAGTTGAAAGTTTATGAACAAATCTTTGAAACGACTTAATATCAAGTTTGAACATGCATAGTTGCACTAATGGATTTCGACACAAAGAATACGTTCGTATTCTGTTTCAGTGATATTTATCGTGAATTTCTTTATTGACCGTCGTAAAGACATCCAATCTATAGCTTACGAGAGAACCTCTTATGGTCCCTCTCAGATTTCAATGATTCTTTGCTCCATAGATACTGCATCGTGTCCTAGTAAAAACCATAAAACAATTTGAGTTCATAGTGCTTCCTTCAAAAGTTATGCATATTTTTATTTTGTTTCTATAAGCCAAAACATACAATATATAAGAGATGGTTTTTTTAAAACCTACCAAATAAGTCATTGCTAAAACATTGATTTTGGGCTTAATTATCTCAAACAATAGATCACCATTAGAATACTTGAGATTCAAAATATTAGTTCTTTCTAACTTTCCTATGAAAAAATTCGGTGTAGACACAGTTACAGACTCCTCAGCACTTATGTAAGAAAATCTCGATGCAGAAATGCTTTCTTTTCTACCAAATTAACTAATGAAGTGATTTCTTTGAAAACATTTTACTAATTTATAATACCAAAATAGGAACAAAAGTATAGTCGACTTTTATACCAATTTTTTAGTATTATACTTCTGACAACACTGGATCAAATTATTTCAAAGTAGTTTTTCATATTTTCTGAAAGCTCTTGAAATTTTGCATCGTATAGGGTAAAGCTTCTTTTGAAAGAAGCACTATGAACTCAATTTTTTTTAATGGCTTCTACTAAGATACTATGTTCAGTGACTTATGGGAAGTATTGAAATCCAATTCGTCGCCTGATTGTTTTCAGACCTGATAGTGCCTTCCGGTTTTTGTGATCTCGGAAATCTTTTATCCGTTTTTGAGATTACTATGACGGAAATCAGTAAGTGATCTTTTTAAAGTTACTACGATCTCAGAAGCCGTTGTTCAGAGATCCTTAAAAGACTCCAGATAGTAACAAAATCGGAAAGCGATGGAGAATTTCCTAGGGTACTTGTTTTTAGAACGTATCAATATGTGTTTTTGTTTCGTTGTCTCGTTCGTTGTTAATGTACTTTTGTTGATTTTTCAAAGTTCCATTTTCAAAAGAAACCTAGCAAATTCATGTGCTCGACATTAAGACCGACTTTTTGAATTCAGAAAAGAAAACTCTGTGCTTATCCAAAAGCATGCGATATACGCTACAATGATGAATTTTTTATTCATGTCTTCAATATTACTGGTGATTTTAGCTTAACAAAAATATCTTTGATATCTTTCATTCTTTATCAATCGTATGCAAACATACAAGACGTTCTTTCTCATATATGCCAACCAGATGTTTCCTAATATGCTCTGAATCAAAATACATCTATTATAGACATAGTTCTAGTGATGAGCGTATGCGTAGGGCAGGAGTTTTCTCGTTGTTATTGTGATGCACATAAAAATCGTACGAATCGCAAATGTGAAAAAACACAAGTTGAATAATATTTCTTCATGATTCGTGGAAATTAATAAAAGACTCAATAGTTAGAATACCAAAAGAAAACAAAATTTCTTTTTATTATATACATATTTCGAATGAATATAATATAAATCAAAAAATACTTCAACAAGATTGTGAGTAATAACAACTTCATTCTGCTGATCTCACTCACACACCTCCACGATGTCATTGGCCTTACTGAAAGATTTGCTTAGACACTATGAATTGTGAAATCATAGAACTCTCGAAACTTACGGAACTAAAGCACCTCCAACAGCTAAATAAACCCTAAGAACTAAAGAATTTTCTTTTTGAGATTTAGGTAGGAGCTAAAATGTAGTGTTTCGAACGAAACTGGTGTTATCACACTTTTCTTGCACATAAATTCTAAACAACTACAGTATTGTCTCACATCCAGAAAACTCAGATACTAAAAATGTGATGAGAGATGACAAACATAAGATATAATCTTTTCCAAGTGCATTGAAATAAGGTTGTAACTCTGGTGATGAGGGAAGTGAAGTCTTAACCGAAACCCACGTCCTTCTGAAAGCCCATTTAGGTTCCAAGAGTTTCACGAATGACGCTGCAATTTTGAACGTTCCAAGCGTTTAGAACTCACGAAATTCTGCTGCTGCAAAGTAATGACTGACTTTATGCGAAATATTGATTCGAACTTGAATCAGATGAATGAAAACTCATATTGAAGGTTCAAAAAGTCATTGTATCATCTCGATTGCCTGTAGCACTTTTCTATATTGAGAAAATCGTAAATTTATTTGAAAATAAAAGTCTCCAAGTCAAATGTGATTCTTAAATTATCCGCGAGTAAATACTTTAAGATAGGTCTAGGTAACGTTATCAATAGTTTGCTCTATTTTCAGAAAGAAGCAAAGACTACTTGAATATTGAAATCTTTTAATTTAAAAATGATTCATCAGATTGTTTTCTCTTTGCGCTGTAACATTCTATCCCAAAAGTTACATGAAAAAATTGTTTCAATTGTGAAATTTTACACCAATAAACATCACCATGATATGAATTTGAAAAATTATTAGTCAATGATTTATACCTAAATATGATGCGGCAGTATGATAAATAAATTAGTTTACTGTCGAGTTAGTTTTCACGAAAACTGAAAGAAAAAGCATGCAAAAGATTTGTCATACAACGGCACCTCAATTTTTTTCAGATTGTTGGTTTTCATATAAGTTCAAAATTAAAAAGAAACATTTTATTGGCTGCAAATCTGATTTGAACAACGTATTTTCATCATATCATTGTCAATAAATTAATTTTTAATCTTTTAGCTAATATGGAATAACTTCAATAAAAAGTGTAACTTAGGCACAATATATATTTATATGTATGTATAATGTGCGGCACCAATAAGCATAGATGTCATTGTCATTATGAGGCTTGGTTGAATACGAACCAATCATATTTCTTAACGTTAAATGTTTGAGTTTGTTTGACTAACCCATCTCGACGCTTGCCATGAATCAATATTCGAGCAATTAAAAATAAAAATGCATCAACGAAATAATAATGCTAATATGTCTTCAACGTTTGTGACATCGACACGTTCAAGCAATGTTCAACAAAATGATATAGTTCATGCTCGGCTTGTTGCATTTTATTCTACATCTTCGAGATCGTCATCAATATCAACACATGAAATTGAACATCGTTATGTTCCTCGTCCATCAATTGAATCAGATTTCATATTCGAATCATGTCTTATTTTCTTTAAAATAATCTCACTTTTTCTACAATATTTATTAATATATAAATCCGAAAAATGGGTCGGTCCTTATAGTACACCAACAGATTCATTTATACATTGGCATCATATTGATCGATATGTTATTATTATATTAATTATATTTTGTTTATCATTACAAGAAAGATTCTTTATTCTTAAAGTATTAATTAATATAATTGCATTAATTTATTCATTTTGGATTTATTCATGGAAATATGTACTTCTATTTACATATCCACTTATTTGTTCATTACTTGTTACTCAAGATCATAATTTAAAGTTATATAATCAACAACAAATAATAATATCATCAAATACTCTACCTGGACATTGGTGTTCAACAAATGCATGTGATTTACGTTATGAAACTGATTGTCTTCATCTTGAATTTCATCAACGTATTCAACATATATTATTTTCATCATTTTTATCAACTTATTATATTTGCATTGTTCCAGTAGCATTTTGTAATACACAATATATACGTCTAGATATAACTCTTCTTTTTCAATATGGTTTTATTTTACTTCTTAGTTTAATTATAATTTATGCAAGTCATTATCTACCTTTGGAATTATTAACTGTTTTTCATCGTAATGGAAAACATCTTGGTTCATGGCAATGTTTAACAAATAATAATAATAATAATACACTTATGATACCATTATGGGATGAAAAAAATCAGCTAGCATATCAACCAAATTCAATTATTAAATATAAACAACATATTTATCGTTCTTCAAATAATTGTTCAACAGTTGCTGAACCGGGTAATATTTGTCATACACGTTTTTCATTTTTATTTAATGGACCATTATTTTTTCCATTAATATTATGTTCATTACAAATTATTCTTTTAATTATTCAAATCATATTCATTTTCATTGATCATCGTTGGTTTGCTCTTTTATCACAAATGATACTTTTTATATTTAATACATATACAATACATCATACAACACGTGATATTTATTTACTTTATTTAGTTTATTGTCGAGAATGAATGATCATATGTATTGCTTTGTTTTCTATTCAGATAAAAACAAACAAATAACAATAAAATGTTTTGTTGTTATACGCTTTATTTATGATTTTTGTTGTATTAGTGAATGACTTTGTTTTCTAGATATCAATATGATGAAAAAACTTGATTATGTTAATTTACCCGGCATTGTAAGTATGATAAAAATGAAAATTTATATATAATTAAAATATATTTATGATAGGTTAATGATCAACCGGATTGTTTTGAAACACCTGATTATCCAGTAAATGAACAATTTCATGAAGTTGGACATGATCATTCAGATGCTGTTAATCAATTTGATATTAATGCAAAAGAAGTTCATGATTCATTAAATGGAAAATATCTTAATGGAAAAGTAGCGGGTATGTTAAAATATTCAGCAATGTATATATTTTTATTAATTTATTATTTCATATAGATTTTTCTGATAGCTCAATTAAAGCTCGTGGTTATGTTCAACATGGCATTTATCAAAATGTATATAAATAATCATTTTTTAGTGTTTTATTCAGCATGAGAGTGAAGTAGAGACTTGCATCAAAGTCAACTAGATGTCTTCTCGATAAATTAGATTCAATATAAGAAGTTTTTTTTGAATTGTGAGCTTTCATTGTTTAGTATTCTCAGTATAAACTGACATTTTTTGGAATTCAATAGATGTCTTTTCGAGATCTATGGTCCACGAGAAGTCAAGGTCAATATTAACTTCAAGTTTTCTCTATATTTGTGTAAAAAACTTCTAGTGTTCAACTTCATTTACTAGTAGGAAATTCAGATAGCTAAGATCGCGCTTCTATGATGATCAAATTAGTGTTTATTATCCTAAATAATGTTTCTGTGCTTCGAAAAATAGGTGTTTAATCTCTCAAACTTTTAAACCATCTTTCCGAAAGAAAAAAATCTGGATAAAACACTAATCTATTTTTATTTTCTTATTGATTTGAAACTAGTATGCTGAACATGAAACTGAAACTCCGATCGAACGTTACAAACGTTTAATGGCTGAATTACAAGAATTAGAAGAAGAATTTAATCGAGTGAGTATTAAAATATTCTTCTTTTTGTAATCTATCTATATATATTTTTTTTCTTTTAGGCATCAAAAGAAGGTTTAAGTAAAGAAGAAAGTGAAAATTTAAGTACTCTTATTCAGCATATCCAACAATTACAAGAACATACATCTAAAGTTTATGGAGCTAAATTTCTTTTAAGTGGACGTGATACAAGGTTGATAATATACAGATTTCAATAGGAAAAAGTTTTAATTATATTTAATTTAGTTCATTACTTACAAAATTAGCAGCATCGAAACAAGAAGCAAAACAAACAAACGCAGGACAAAAGAATTCTGATACATTTAAATTATATATTAATCCTGCGACAGTTGCAAGTTCATCCACGTCAACTTTTCAAGTAAAACAATTTTTTTCCGAGAAAAGAAAACCTAGTTAATCAATTATCGATGTTTAGCTTTCGGAAATCGAACAAAAAATATCGAAACTTGAAAATTTAGTTGGCCTTAATGAACAACAACCAGTAATAATAATTTGTCTATTTATATTCTATTCATTTGTTTCTTAATTTTTATTTTAGATTGAATCGAAATCTTTATTAGTAATTAGAATACTAAGAATAATTTGTTTAATTTATTATTTATTTATTTCAGAGTTCACTTGAACAATTAACAACTCGTATTAATTTACTTGATGGAACAAATGTTGATCATATTGATATGAAATTAGCAAATGTTCTTTCACGTTTAAATGCAATTAATGATAAAAAAACACTTGTTGACGAACAAGATAAACAAAGCAAAGTATTACAAAAAAAAAACAAAAGAAGAAAAATTATTTTTCATTGTATTATTTAATATTTTAATAATAGGCTGTAGAATTATTCGATATGATGTCACGATGGGAATCAATGGCAGCAAGCTTACCAATTATTCAACAACGTTTAATAGCTCTTAATGAACTTTATCAACAGGGTAAAAACATTTGACATTCGAGAAATGCTTCTATATTTTCTTTTTTTTTTTTAAAGCTTTTCAATTCAGCACAGCACTTTCACATTATGAAGCTGAACAACAAGCATTAAAAACTTCACTTGATGCAAATGATCATCTTTTAAAACAAGTAAAAATTAAATAGATTTTTTTTTCGTAGAATTCATATTATATTTTTTGAAAAAGAAAATATAGTAAGTGTAAGTTTTAACTCGAAGTTTCGCACTCCTTCTTCATAGCAATTGAGATCAAAGGACAGAAGCCAATGAGTATGTTTTTCCGAACAAAGAAAGGACAGACAAACAATCCCTTCTATTCCCGGTTCCAATATAAACCGTATAGTTAAAAATTCACTATAGTTAATTTAGAGGTAACATTGGTTTCTAAAAAAGTTGATTGAAAACCTTAAAAAGACTAAGTTGAAAAGAATGTGTAACACGCAATTCGATACGTCTTCATTTCATTTTTCTATAAGTGAAAACAGCAACTTTGTATCTTGTTTCTATCCAGAGTTATTAAAAAATTCCATCCTTTTATTTTAACTGATTATTTTTGATTTTTGAGCAGATAAAGTCTTACATTTGAAATGTCAAGAATAATACGTGATTTAATAATAGTGGTAATATAATCAATATGAAAAGCATGAATTTATAAAGTTATAGCTTTGAGAAACAATTAATATCAATGTTTCCGGGCTTATCAAGATATATAACAGTACGGTGATGCCTGAAGTAGATATAATGATTATGTACAATAGGTTTATTTGTTTGGTAAATCAATAATTAGAATAATAATGATAATGTTAAATAAAGAAAAACAAGATACGAAAATGAATAACAGCAAGATAAATAGTAGTAGTAAGAGCACCAGTAAAAACATTCTGTTTATCCTTGGAAACCAAATGTACTCAGCTAGACATCTTTTACTGAAAGTAGTTTGTATTAATAATATGAAACTAACGAACACATGTGAGTTCCATATTTCAGCTCCAAAGAGACTGTCTTGACAAACTATTTAACATTAATATTATTATTCATTATTTTATTTTTAGTTAAAAACAACATTTGAATCGAATCTTGTTTCACTTCAAAGTCAACTTAATAATATCGATCAAAAATTAGTTACAAGTGGAAATCTTAAAAAGAAATAATACATTCATACATATATATATATCCACAAATATAATAATGATGCGATAGGTATCCTTTTTTGTTTTTTTTTTGTATTGGTGGTGCATCAGATAGTTGGTTTTTTCATTTTATTTGGCTTTTGTAATCACATATATTTTATTATTATCGGTTAACATTCTTAAAATAAAATGTGAAGGGATGTATTAACAACAACAGATGGAAATAATGTCTTCCAATAAGCTATTAAATTTCATACATTGATAGATTACTGTTTGAATCAATTTTTTCATGAAAATGTCATATGAAAGGTTTCTTTAAAATTTTTAGATCTCAATATTGACTAAATAAAAAAATTGATAAAATTTTATAAGAAAACTAATGACTTTGTGACTTAAACTGTGTGTTCTTATCATAAAATACAAATTGTTGTTTATTAAATGATACAAGTGAAAGCATGTCTTTCTGTCTTAGTTTCATAATGATATTTTTAATACGATATATATTCGAAAACAATAAATAAATAATGAAAATCTCGCTTTTGAATTTCGATAGATTTGAATTGTTTGTATGTATACTTATATTAATATTTCTTCATTTTTATTGTTATCATTTTCTATTGAATTATACAAAAAACTGGCAATAAGCTTCATGACAGGAAAAATACGCATGATAAGTTCTAGGTCATATCCGATTTTACTACAAAGAAAGATTGATTTCTCTAATTGATGTGATCAAACATGTTTATAAGATCTGATGTTAAATTAGATTATTTTATGCTTTTCAGTATTGTCATTGAATGTTGGAAGAAAGACTAATGGAATTTTTACGATTTCTTTCTTAAAAATTTGTTATGATAACTTGTTTTCTATGGCATTGGTTCTCTCGTTGTAATAATCTTGATCAAGACTGAGCTAAGTTTTTTTTATTTAGATCATATGTTGTAGGATATTATCAATGATCATCAAAGTTGTATTTTTTTTTTTGATAAAATTAATAAATATGAAAAAGAAGCCTTTTTGTTATTAAAAATCTGCTGAACATGAAAAGTAAAACTTGAAAAGATTAATTCAATTACATATCCGTGTATTTGTTCTTTTATTAATGATTATCTATAATGATTTAATGAAGACAGACAATGATAATTTATATGAGAATATTATTGTTAAACTTGCTGAAATATTTTGCCAACAATATCTTAATAATGATTTTAATGTATTCATTCTGTGCTCGTCTATCGATAAAAAGTGATAAACATTGATTAGATGAGCGCATATTCCTTGTAGGTTTTTCTAGATTCTATAAGTGTATTTCTGAATTTTAGCATTTGTTCTGTCTTTATTTTAAGTAACTAGAAAACTATTCTTCTATCGATAGTAATAGTAATAATCATGTCATAGACGATCAATGATCTTTTATTTGCCTGTGTTCTCTTGAACATTGGTACATTTTCATAAGCGGATCCATTTTTTTATCTTTACTAATCGACTCATATAGTTTATTCTTTATATTTCTGGCTATGGCTCATTCATGTAGAATTCGGATTGAAAAAAGTACATAGAAATATGAATGGTGGTAAAAACTGAGTGAACATAACGGATGAAGACAACCAAATAGACGAGCTGAGCATAATAACTTCACGCAGATAGAGACTTATCAGATTCAATGAAGTGAGTATTCTTTCTCTATGTACAATACATTCCTGATACCTTTGTTGGTGACGTGATATCGAATAAGGGTGACAATGAAATGTATGAGATTGGTTTCTAGATATTTGATGTAACTAGGATTTTAGAATGGCTGTTTTCGGTGAATTTTATACTTATTCAAGAATTTCAAATTTTATATATTTATATAAATATTCATGGTTCCATGAGTCTCTAATATCTTCACAATATGTTTGATTTTTATTCTTCGATCACGTTTTCAGCAAAACACATGGACAAAGAACGATGAATATAAATCCGTCATTTGGGAAATATAAATATCATTCTATCAATAAATATAATTGATTAAAAACTTGCTCTACTTATAGAATATACAATGACAGATAATTGATACAGATGTAGTTTGAACAAGCTAGAATAGAAAATAGAATATCATATTCATGACTGATCCATAAATATTGATTGCTCTGTTCCTTCTCTCTAGTTCACTGAAAAAAATTGCTTCTAGAAAATGAATACTCTCATTCAAACTTTCTAATAAGAGTTCAATAATTCTATTAGAAAACAACTGATCAACCGTAATCATTCTCTTCTGCTAATATTCGAAGAGGATAACTATCTATTTGCATATCTAATAGTGTAATGCGTAATATTGACCAGTATCAATAACAAATACTTGTTCGAATGTCTATTTCTTGTTTTTCAATAATATGTATATATATGTAATCATTGTATAAAATGATCCTATCCTTTGATAACTAGATTATTGTCCAAATGAGGTAAAAAAGAAAAGCTTGAAATGTTATGATTTTTCCATTATAACGTACGATTTGATTTTGTATTCAAATTACAATGACTAAAATTAGTTTTTGTTAATGATAAATTTTTTATGTCTAATTACAAAATCATCATAATCTTTAGATAATTGAAACTTATATAGAAAGAAGCAATGCTAAATGTTTAATTTTCAGACTAGTTTTGCTGCATATTACACATTATATGAAACTAAACGATATACAAGAAGTTTATTCAGAAATGTCTAATGAATAATTAATTTTATTTTGTGTCTCGTAAATGATGCTGAAAAATACTTGTTTAAAAAAATTACTTTTTAGGTTTGAACGAAGCAAAATTCACTAAAGTTGTATAATATTTCATTTCTATGAACAATACATATACAAATCGAATGTGTACTATAAAATTTTATCTTATAAAGATATAGGCCATGATTATCGAAAAAATTTTCTTTTCTTATTAGAGATGTACTTAATGGCTGTAACTATTCGATAAGCGTAATAGAATAGATGGACGTATATTATTTATTTTGTTTCCGACTGACTAAAGTTATTTAAATGAAGAGAGAGATGATAAATGTCATCATACCATTGTTCAATAGAAACAGTTGGGCCGGCGCGAAAAAAATATCTTCTGATAACCTCGATTTTTTCGTTCTGTGTTCGTCTCTATCTATAAATAGAGATGCACATTCATAAAACAAACATACATAACATCACAATTATCTTCTTGTTGGATAAATTCTATTGGTGTACAACTTACTATCAACATTAATTGCATAGTTTTATAAATAAACTAGAAAATTTCTATCTATAATAATGTCATCAATTATTAACTATGTTTTATTCATTTTGGTTCTCTTATGTACCAGTGGTTTATTACAAGAAGGTTTGTTTTTATTTTTAGTGATTTAATCATATAACTTATTATTGGTTTTTAGCTATTGCTCTTCGGTTAGATGAACAACCGCATAGACATGGACAAATGCGTGGGCGTCAATACCAGCTCAAACATATGGGATGGCGTTACCATTGTTGTAAGTAATTTTTCTCTATGTAGAATTTATTGCTGATATCATTCTTTGTTTAGATCGTTATTGATGATGAACAAGGTATTTTCAACTAATTGTTGAATTTAATCATATGATAATATTAAAACAATCTTTTCTTAATCTAAATTTATTATACTTTTTTTTTCTTTTCTTCTTTAACATGTGATGTTATAATTATCTTTTGTCAGAATGAATAAATAATGTTAAAGCAATGATTTAAACGCAATTTTCACGTTTTTTTTTAATATTCTGCTACTTAGAACATTACGCAGGTGTTAGAAAACCTATTCGAAATGGTTAACTAGTGCATATATTCAACTATCAGAAATATGAACTGCTTTGGTGAATGTCTAAGTTCTTTAAATATTGAGTAATTGATGTGGTGACAAGTTCTCAATATTGGAAAGCTATAGTCGAAGAGTAGGCTTGAATGTGTAATTGAATTTTTATTGAACGAATGATTGTTTCGATCACCTTTAATCGTTTAATGTTGCGTATTCAACGAATTTTTAAACTTTTATTTTTTAATGAATCTTTTAGGCAAGATACATGGAACAAAATTAGCTCTAATATTAATGTAATACTCTTTTAAATTTTCTATATGTGGATAATTGTATTTTACTGATTATCGTTTTGTTTTGATACTACAAAAGGATAGTAACAATAGAAATCAATTTTCTTTCCCTTCTCTTTTTCCTCATAATTAATAATGCTAGAAATTTGCTGTTTCGAAAAATTAGTTGTTTTATCTAACAAATATTCAGTAATATTCAATAACTTCGCGTCTATCTAAATGATTTATACAAATTCAAATGTGAAATAAGAAAGTTAATTTTCTTGAGAAATAAAAGTGATGAGTCATGTCATGTTGAGCCTAATGATGATTTTTGTTTCCAATTTCAATCTGATTTTGTGCTTAAAGCTCGAGATCTTTCGAAAATCGTTGAACTCTTTAACAGTTTAGTCCGACGATCTCAGTGTTTTTGAGTAAATCTAGAACACCTGATGGTCTCTTTACAAACAAGAGAAAATAAAATCAAAATACGATGAAAAAGTTTTTTAGAAAGCCATTCTGAAAAGTCTTCAGAAAAAAAGTCATATACTTAGCTAACTTCGTACCGATCGTATATTGCATTGCTTCAATAGTGCGAGTGTATTTTTTTTCCTACTGTTTATAAAGCGCGATACATCTATCGACTAAACAATTAATTAGAAAAAGATCTATCTAGAATAATGAACATGTTATTCATTCTCAAATATATTGTGTTTGGTTTGGTTCTTTTATGTGTTGATGGCTTTCTACAAGGAAATCAATTTTGGTTAACGTACTGTTAGTAATTTTTATCTTATTGGTGGAAATCGAAGTGTTTACTAGTAGCCCTTATCTTGGTGGTGTAGACGTAATAGCGGCAACCTTTATCATTTTTGGAGCGTTCATCATAGCGTTGGTGATTGTCACTCACAGGCATCGGTGAGCTTATTCGTAGTACTGAATGTCAAGTTCACTTCTGACATCGTAAGTCTTTTCTTTTTGCTTTGAGTTAGATAAATGTAGGTATAGTTTTCTCCAAATTTTACACGATATTCATAAATAATGATATTCATACAGGTAAATTGACTTAATCATATTTTGTACTACAATACAATATTTTCACAATCAAAATAGCCATCATGCTTTTTGAATCTTTTATGTACAATTTTGTTATTATTTACTTTTTCTTTTTTTTTTGGAAAACCTATTTTATTGTATATGAATAATATGTATTACTTAAAGCAAAGTGTCACAAGAAAATGATTTTCTATTTATATTTGATATATTCGAAATAATTTAATGAAAAGCTCTTTTTTCTTCTTTCTTTTCAACAGCATAAGCCAAAAACAAAAAAAAAAACTTAATATGAATATATTTTAAGACTAAGCTGAATACTTCTCGTATTTTTCTTCATGCACACACACATACTGGTTTCCTAGAGAAAAGAGAAGTAAGTAGTTCAATAGGAATCTTATGACGAGGACAAAAAGGCATTGCAATCATCATTGTTTTGTCCTAGTGTTTATGATTGAATAATCAATGATATACCGGTGAATAGTTTTCGTAATAATGTCGATTTAATAGGATTGGTTGTTCATTTTTCACCTGAAATAAATTTAATTAAGAAAAAATAAAACAAAGGAACATGTATCAAGAGTACCCAAGCCGTATCTGTCTATCTCTATTCTTCAAAGACGATACAATTGATCAAGTAGCAACGTTTATCACAGATACTTGGAAGTATTGTTCAGCGATAGAATTGATCATTTTCGTTTTTGGGTTTCGTATCCGAACGCCAAGAACTCCAAATACCAAATCCTTGCTTTTTATTCTGAATCTTTATGTATTTTTCTCCAAGAAAAAAGAAAATAAAATTTCCTTCAAAACTCAAAATTATCTTTGAGATACGATCTTAGTTATTTTCAAAAATATTCAGATCAATCAGATCAAAGTTGCTGGGATTCGTAATGTACCAAGATATTGCTCCTCGGAAAACCAAGGTTTTTACGGAAAATTTCTTTGAGCTCTTTTCGAACTTATTTTATTCGAACATTTATCTCCTCACTTTAAGTGCTCTATCTGTGGTAAAGATTTCAGCCCGATCAATTGCACCTTCTTCGAGAATCAGAAGTGGTCAAAAAAGAATGGGATTATCCTTAAGACATACTTGCGATGAACAAGTGAAATCATTTAATAATTGATTAAGAGTTTCATTCGAATATAATGAACTTCCATATTGTTGAACATATTGATCGGGTCTAACACGTTTTATTTCTGATCGTTGTTTTATATCTTTATCAACAATAACATTAACATCATCATATTCGACAATAATTTGTTTTGCTTGTTCATTAGTCTGACGTTTATTTCGTATTGGTAATGGTGATGCTCGTTCATAAATTATTTGTCGCTTTTGTTCAGGTGGATATGGTAACCATTTTTCAACTAAAATAGGTGCTGGTTTTTGTATAACAGCTGAGACATGTGATCGAAGACGTTCAACAATCACTGTTGGTGGTGAAGGTGATGAAGGTGGTGGAGTTGGTAAATGACGATAAACAATAGTTGGTTTGGATAGATATTCCTTTTTTGGTGGAAGTGGTGGACGTTCACGAATTACTATAGGTGATGGTGTTCTAGATAAATGAATATGACCAGTATCTTCTAATTTTTGATGAATTTTTATTGGTTTAGGTGGCAGAGGAGGTTTATGACGAACTTCTCGAATAATAATTGGAGCTAGTGGTGGAGGAGTTGGTGGACGAAGTAATTGTATATCAACTTGTTGTTTTAATATAATATCTTTACTTTTTTTTCGTATTATAACGGGTGGTGGTGGTGGAATTGGTGTAGGAAATTCATGAGTAAAATCCATTGAAGCAGCCATGAAAGAAGAACGTTCAAGATCTTTTAAATAATTTAAATTAATATCACCAATATTAGTTGTTGCTTCATAATTATGAAATGGTTCACTTGATGGTTTATTTAATTCGTTCATTGTATCTGATGAAAATCCCCACTCAAATTTTGAAATATCGGTTGTTGTGGCACCATCTTCGATTGCCTTTTCTTCATGATATCTATCAAAAGTATTATTATTATTATTATAATTATTATTATTATTATTATCATTATTATAATTATAATTATTATTATCATTATTATAATTATTATTATTTTCATCTGTTGTTGTAGCAAAAAAGAATTGTGGATGAGATTCAGATGGTACAAATTTTGGGAAATTTTTTTTCATCATAAGTTCTTCTCGTGGTATAACAGTTATTGGTTTACTAGTACTTGTTATAGAACATGCCATTGATATATCGTCACAACTTTTGTGTCGTGTTAGTGTATCATTTTCAATCGTAGATGTTAAATGAGCCGTTGACGATTGTGTTCTACGTCTTACTGTTGCTTGCACTGATGGAATTGGTGTTGTTTGTATTTTTGGAATTGTCATGTTTTGTATTTTTGGAGTTGGAGGTTTTTGTATTGTTGGAATTGGCGCTATTGCTGTTGTTGTTGATTGTGGCCTTTTCTTTTGAGTTGAATAATTATAAGAACCCAAATTAAAACTGTCGGCATAAGCAACCAGTGATTGAAGTAATTCATCATCGGTTACAAACTGTTCATGTGGTGATATATCTGTTTGTATTGTTGTCTCATGCTCGATAGAAGTGTTATATAACGAAATAGGTAGTTTGGACGGTTGAGTATAATTATTTAAATATTCATCATAGTTGATATATGATGGTTGAGATTGAATAAGTATTGATAAATCACTAAGAGAACCACTAGCACTACTAAGTAAATTTTTATTTGATGATGACGTTGATGTTGTAGTTCCTGTTCCTGTTTGTTGCATAAACATAGGATCAAATTGAAATTCCACATCATTACATAATGAGATAATCGATGGTAATGATGTTGACCACTTATTCATTTTTAGCGCACGTTCTTTATATGTTTGCGTGCACACCTTCAAATAAGCGACTTCAAATCAATTGAACATTGTCTTTATTTCCTACCTTTGTATATGTGCGTATATGTATGGCACGGGACATTTGGCGTGTCATTTATTGATGGTGCGTGAAACTATTGAACATTTACATGCTCATATACGCATTCAAATTGTAGGCAACAATTCATGGCCTTATCAGATCAAACAAATGTAATTATTTAAAATGCTTAAAAAAAAACAGACAATTACAGAGACCTACAAGACAAGGATTTTTCTGTCTTCTTTTTTTCATATTCTTCTCTATCAAATAGAAAAAAAATCATTACGTGAACGTAAAATACAAATCAATTGTATATAAAGACAGAACAAATATGAAAGAAAATATTTAATTCAATATTAATTGAACATTGAAGATATTTATTTATTCATTTCCTTTTTTTATACATTCAATGGATAATATTTACAGACGTCATACAATAAAAAAAAAAATCACATTAAAAAAAAAAGAAGAAATATTAAAAGTTTCCTTCACCACCACCACCATCATCATCATCATCAACAGATGTTCCATAATAATTAACAATCGATATGGATTTTTTTCTTTTATATAGTTTAACTAAAAGATCATCTTCAATCTGATTACATTGTTCAAAATTAAGATATTCTATATCATGAAAATATTTTTCTGGTATATCATTTAGTATATGGCCATAAATTTGATGACACCCTACTAATGATAAACGTCGAAGATGATGACATCGAGTGACTATTTCATTGAAACTATCATCAGTAAGACCGTATGCCCATGTACAAGTGAAATCAATCAGCCGAGGACACCTATAAAATAAACAGTTTCAAAAAGAAAAAACCTCATCGACAAAAAAAGAGAAATAGTATACCCCTCTCCCTCGACTCGGTTCCATGCGATAATGTCTCATTTGAGTTTTTTCTCAATTCGGTTTTAATATTATCAATTATGATGATTCATAATTATGTTGAATATAGAAGAGAATAACTTGTACAATAAAGAATAACAGAAAAAAATACAAAAGTTATTAACATCTATGATGCTGAGGTACGTTATGTATGTAATGAAAAATTAAGTTGTTTATTTGTACTTGTTCACAAATTTCATTTTTACGGTGTTGCCGCATTGAATTATTAATTGTAAACCTTGATAGTTAAGGACAAGTGCATTATTGTGTGTAAGGTCTGCGCTAGAATCATCGGGAAAATGAGGGATGGATGTAATTTCTATAACTCGACAACAGCAACAGCTAGTAATCTTCCGTTTTCCGTAACTGAAAGAGAAGAACTACCGATGTCTTTCTGCTTGATACTATATAATACAAAATTATTTTAAAACTCATCATCTTCAAAAAACATTCAACAAGAGTGCATGAAAACGGTGTTTCGTTATCAATGCAATTTTGATAAAGTCATTTTTCTTGTTGAATTGCTAAAATAACAATATGAGATATAGATCAAGCAGGATATGGGTGAGGGCGAGGTCTGTATTGCATCCAAACCAAGATGTTAAAGGAAGTAAAAGGTGTTAAATGTATAAAAGTCATTATCATTTGAAAACCCATAAAGTAAATTGGGATAAAATGAATTCCTCGTGAACTTCTCGTCGATAACCATTCTAGTATGAATTCTTTAAATAGCTAATCATGAAGATATATGAAGACTTATCATCTCCTCTTTATTCGATGACTAATAACAGAACTGAAAAGAGACCACATTGAGAATCAATCGAAACTAATCGAATTTGAGAAGTAACCCGAATAAGAGATCATCGAATGAAATTGTCCAAAATAAATACTTACATTCTAATAATTGATCGAACACAATCATCATCAATCAAATGACATTCTCCTAATTTAAGTAGAATTAAATTTTCATAAATATGTTTTCCATTAAATAATAATTGAAACGATTTAAGTGGAACCGTTGTTAATTTAGATAAACATAATTCTTTAAGATTATAAAAATTCTATGTGAAATAAATTACAATAATAAATTAATTAATTAATTATAAAAATAAAAACTCTACTTGAAATATATGGAAATTTGAGCCTGTCATATTTGTACAAAATTCAATCATAATTGATTTTAACTTTCGACAATAATCAATATATTCTAAAGCTTTATCTGTTAATTGAGCACCATCAATTTTAAGAATTTCCAAATATGTATTATGTTTATCACATAAAGCTTTTACTGTTCTAAATTAAAATGAAACTTAATAATTCTTGCTTTTTTTTTTTTTAATTTTAATAAAAACAAAAAATTAACTTACTCATCATTAATGGCTTCAACATAAAGTAAATTTAATTCTACTATTGTATTTAAATTATTAACAAGTTGTAAAATTCCAAAATTAGTTATTCCGACTTGATAAGAAGCCGTAATACGCTTTAATTGAATATTTTTATCAGCAAGTAAGGATAAAATTAAATCAAATTTTTCATAGCCTTTATGATGTTGATAATCAAATATAATTGTTTGTAAACAATGAGGAAAATATTCAACAATAAAACAAATTAATATTGGAGAAATATGAACATTTCGAAACCGTATTGTATCAAGTTTAGAAGTTGTTTTAGCAATGCTATCAAACCATATAGCCCATGTAAGAATACTTACTTCATTATCCCAATTAATAAATGTTATTGATTGAAGATGTGTTAAATATAAAAGTAAATGAGTTACATCAAAAACGGAAATTATTTTTGAAAGACCAATATGAGAAATGGCTTGATTGAAAATGAGATTTGCAAAATATTGGCAAGTTGGTGCAAGATGTGTTATAAGTTCAAATGGTGATATAAATGAAAATATGTGAAGAAGAATTTCTGTTGGAAGATCTAGAAGATTTTTATTTGTATCACAAGATAAACATGAGTTTGGAATGGATGATAATGAGGTTGAATTCAAAGGATTAAGATTATCCGGTATTAACTGTTCATTCTAAATAAATTATATTAAATATCAAGTAGGTATGTATTTTTTTTTTCATCTCTAAAGCAAAATCTAGTTGAACAATGTTCACTCTTGTCTATATTTGGATAAATCTGATGATGCAATTGTTTTCTTTAAAGAGAACAAAAATGCACAAATGTACATGTTTTAAGACGCAAAGAAATATGCAGATAAAATGAATAAATAAAATTTGAGAATTTAAGACTTTTCAATTATACTTAGATCTGATCAAAAGTTCTGAGAACATTAAATAAAAATATAAAGATGCAAAGATATTTTTAATTTTATTTTATCAAATGTTGAGGATAGTTGCCATGATTATTTATATCAAGTTCAATCCTTTCTAACAATTTATTAAAAGTTTTTTTAACCTCTTTTTGCTAAAAAGATTTTAGCTATCTTGGATACCACATGAGCTAATAATATTTCATTTGTTTTAAAAATTCAGTGGAATTTTGTTCGATCATATCAGTTGCATTCTAGCATTACTAGTAATGGGCTATGGATTTATTTTAGATAGGTTAGTCATAAGTCATCTAATGCTAACTAGCTTATTGAAGTTGAATTGTCAAAGATTATTATTCATGGAGACAGATGTGAAGCAAAATTTTGTTTAGTATATTCGTTATATCAAATAGTCCTGAGTGTAGATAAAAGCAAGACTGTAGATCACAAGTATTATATTGAAAATAATCTGAACCTTTTTGTTAACGAAATATGGAAACAAACATAGACATCAGGTTCAAAATGTACAAAATTGCTTGACGATCATCGTTGACTTCATACTCACCCAATGTTATTAATTAGTTGACAGAAAAAGGCATCAATATAATATCATATCCGCCATATTCGCCAGATCTAATACTACATAATCTTTGGTTAAGTGATTCTATCGAACGAAGTTTAACTAATTAAATAAATGAAATATGATTAGCTCATGTGGTATCCAAGATAGCTAAAAATTTTTTAGCAAAAAGAGATTAAAAAAACTTTTTAGAAATGATTAAACTTGATATAAATAATCATGGCAACTATCCTCAACATTTGATAAAATAAAATTGAAAATATCTCTGCATCTTTATATTTTTATTTAATGTTTTCAGAATTTTTGATCAGACCTAAATATTAAAGACATTGATGTAGAATCCAAGAGTCAAATCAAATAGTTTTGTTTAACTTGAGTATTAAGAAATCTCACCGAAATATTTAAATGTGCGACAAAGTCAGTGCTAGATAATCAATATCAATCAAATTAATAAATATTTTCTCGATAAATTGTATGTTAGAGAGAAGTAAATAAATCGAATGTAAATTATGTATGCTTTATAACTATAACATTTAAACTAAAATACGACTCCAAAGCTCATACACTTGCAAGCATACAACCAAAACTCACTTAATATATTTTTCTCTTGCGCCACTTAATTAAAGCAAGTACATTAAAATATTATACACGAAAAATGATAAAACAAGACAGAGTGCAGCGAGAAAGATGCACAAAAATTAGAGAATGACAATACAGATGTCGACAGACCATGCCTTCATACTTCCTCTTCGTAATAATAATAACTAAACTTTTCTGTAGAATACTTTTGATATACTTCTGCAGTACAATGAAGTACGAAATTTTCGCTTTTTCTCCGTCTTAAGTCTTTTACAAATAATTATATTTGATCTAGTTCCGACGAAATAAAATAGATTTAATATTATTCGTCTGTCTCTTCCTATCGTTGTTTCTTGTTTTATTTTCATGGTGAATGTTTTCGTTTCCTTTGGTTTTTTAAAAAGTAAACGATATTTACATTGAGCTTTGTTCTTAAACATTGTTGTTCATCAAGTTCTTCATAACACTGATTTAATATACATAAACTTATTTGATTTATAATATTTAAATTTAAACATTGTTCTTTTTCAAGTTGTTCAATTTCTTTTAATGTCCAACCATTTTTACATAAAGGATAATTTGGAAATGGTTGACAATCTTCACTTGTGTCTTGTTCATGTTGAAGATTTTCAATTAATGATGAAATAGATACAATACAATTTTCAAGTTCTTCTACATCTGAATGATCTGGTCCATAAAATCGATAAAGTTCTTCATATTGATCGTCGTTGTTGCATACTGGATGTTCATATATACGGCATAGATTTAAAAGAGACTCAAGTCGATGTTTAACATTTATGGACGCTAATAAAAGACGATCAATTAATATAGATGACATCTAGAAAGAACAGAAAACACTAGTACAAATAAAAACTAATCATTTATAAACTATTTTTGTTATGTTTTATTGTATTTATTTTTTCTTCTATAATTTTGTTTTATCAACTTTTTCAACAGTTTGTGATTCCCGTTTGCCAATCATAGGTGCAACCAAATATTCTTCATACGTGTTTGAAGCATTTTCAAGTACTTGTTTAGTTTGAAGAGTTTTTTCAATTGATATTGTATCTGTTTGTCTTAAAGGACATAATTCTGTTTCAACTAAGGTATATAATGGTTGAAGATGATCAACATTTGCCTGATGTATAATATTCGATGAATGTATAGTCTGTTCAACTTTTTTTATTGTTTTTTCATTTTGAAACGAAATTAATGAAAGACGTTCTAGTTTATTTTGCATATCAATATCAATTTTAATTGGATTTGATAAAAGTTTTTCTTTCATTTGTTGTAAAACAGAAAATGAACGACGAAACAAAACAAAGAATGACATCTGCAAACAAATATTCATTGTCGATTACGTGTTTTCCTTCTCTCTCCATGCCATTTACATAAGACAAAAACAAGTTACCAAAAACAAAAGAAAAGAAACAAGAATTTTATTTTGATTAGGTTAATTATTTTTCACTTCAATAAAAAAAAAAAAAAGAAAAAAAGAGGAAAGATAAACGGAAAAAAATAGTGAATAAAAGCGTGAATAATTAGGCAGAACCACAAACACACACAGACATAAGTAATAGATGTTTAAAGAAAAGAAAAAACAATGACAACAATAATGATAACGATATGAGCTCACTTCTTTTTTGCTAAACTAATCTTATTCTCGATTACCACTACCATAATCGCGATTTTGTCCACGACGATCATCTCCTGGAGCGCCACCTGTACGCCGATTATCATATGACGGACCACCACTAGCACGAGGACGATTATTTTCATTATCGTCATTGTCATTAGCACGCCAACTAAATTTGGTTATTTACTAGAGGAATAATTTTAAATTCAAACAAACCTGTTCAAACGTGTTCTCTCTCGTGTACGCCAATTATCATTGTCATCCGATCGACCCCAATTAGTGGATGAATGTGGACCACTACGACCACTATCTCGTGGCTCATCCCGTTGTTCTGTTGTCATACGTGGCTTTGATCGCCAGGCTCCACTTGAAGATGATTCTTCTGAACGCTGTTGTGCTGGACGATCATTGCCAGTTCGTTGTCTATTTCAATGAGAAAAGACAAAAATAAAGAAACCATTGTATTGAATATGATTCTTATGTAGTTTACTGATTAGAACGTTTCTTTTCAACTGTGTGCCATGTGTCTGCTGTTTCAGCATTTCTGTCGGTCCATCGTTCTGATGTTGATGAAGCTGATGGTTGTGTTTGTTGTGAAGAATATCCTCGTCGATCATCGCGTCTATCGTCTCTGCGATCATCTCGTCTATCGTCTCTGCGATCATCTCGTCTATCGTCTCTTCGATCATCATGTCTATCGTCTCGACGATCATCTGGTTTATCGTCTCTTCGATCATCACGTCTATCGTCTCTTCGATCGTCACGTCTGTCGCCCCGACGATCATCTCGTCTATCGTCTCTTCGATCATCACGATTTTGTTGTTCAAGCTTTATTCTAGGTCGCCATGGTTCATTAGATGAAGCTTTAGTATTTGATGAATCATCAAGACGTCGATCACCGCCTCGTGGACTAAAAGTTTAATGAAAATAAATCTAAAAATCATGCAACATAAAGAGGAAATGTTACCGTTGTTCATCATTTCGTGCACGCCAATTATCATTAGAAACAACTTGTGAGGATTGATTTTCATCAGTTTCACGTGGATTGCGACGCCATGATCGACTAAAATAACAAAAGTTACATGAAAATGAAATTTTTGAATATGCATACTTGTCAATTCTATCTTTATCTTGTTCATGACTAGTATTAATAGGACCACTTCGTCGACTACCAATGCTAGGTGCTGTAGTTGTACGTGTAGCCTCTCTTTCGGCTTGTATTCTTCGCTCAACTTCTTCGTCACGTTCACGTTGTTTTCTTGCTTGTTCATCAAATTTTTTCTTTTCTTCTGCTTTGGCTAAACGTTCTAATGCTAAACGTTCGTCTTGTTTACGTTTTAATTCAGCTTCAATTTGTCGTTGTTTCTCTTCTTGTTGTCGTTGTTTTTTTAATTTTTTTTCTTTTCTAAACTCTTGTTTTCTCTTTTCAACATATTCCTGACGTAATTGCTTTAAGCGTATTTGACGTGCAAGTTGTAAACGTTGCTCAAATTCTTTCATTTCTTGAACATAATCTTCATGTCTTTGTCCACGAATTGATTGAAGAAAAAAATTTTTATCATCTTCCATTCGTGTAAGACGTTCACGTCTCTCAATAGCACGTTGACGTTCAGCAATTTGAATCTCACGTCTATGATGCGTTTCTTCTTCAGTCTGTTTTTGCAATAATGGTATTTCAGCTTCATGTTGTGCTCGAATAACATAATCGACTTTTTTAAATTGAACTTTTAATTTTTCTTTTTGTTCTCGACTATGTTTTATAACCGCATCAATATGTAATGAATTAAGTGAATTAGGATCATATTTATATAAATCTTCTTCACCAATAACTTCGATTATTTTTCGACCTATTTCTGATTCATGTAATTTATCAATAGCCATTTTCATAGCAAAACGATGTTCTTCTTTTTCTTTTTCGACTGCTGCTTCATTTATACGACGTTTAAGATCAGCTTCACGTCGACTTTTATCTTCTTCATCACGTTCAGCTTGTTTTGTTTTTGAAACAATTTCGGCTTGTCTTACCTAATTCAAATAAAAGTAAGAAAAAAGATATTCTCATTTTTTAAGGAATCTCTCAGAAAACTCGATTCTCGTTAAGACATATGATTTTTGAGATACATATATGAACATGTTGTCTAGTGTAAGGATTTATTAAAATAGTTTTGATTCTAGAAGGTTTTGAGAAGGAAGGAGTTATGAATGATCTTCGAAACTATCTGGACCAATAATGATGTCGAGAGTAATCAGTGAAATTTTCTGAAGAATTAAATCTACAAAATAAACAAATATTTTTTTTTTCAAAGACAATCAAATCTTGTGCATCTCAGAAACATTTTCGAGATCTAGAATGACATCAAACTATGAATCTTCTCTTTATCCATATCCTGCAAGAAGATATTTGATATAAAATAAAAAAACCATATTTCTTATGAGTTACTAGTACGATTGGCATGTAATATGTTTGTACTTCGCCTACATTTTAAATAGTAATCGGGAAACTATATTAAAAAAAAACAATTCTTTTTGTGTTTCTTGCAAAAACCCTGATATTATCGGTAATGATTCAAATTAGGACAAATCTTTTCTCAACATACTTCATTCTAGAGAAGTGTATTTTTGTTTTAATCGATGAATACATGCATAAGTACTTCCGATGAGAGAAAAGAATTTTCTAAATAGTCATCAATAATTTCATCAATACCTTATGCATCTTGTCAAAGTTAGATTTTTGAAGAGAAGAAGGTTTCTTAATTGAATAATTTTTCTTACTTTATCTTTATGTTCTTTTTCTTTATCTTCTTTATAACGTTCAATAAGTTCACGTCGTTTTAATATTTCTTTACGTTGTATTGATTCATCATGACCATATGTTTTTGCTATTTCACGTCTTAATTTATCATTACGTTCTTTATTTGATTTTTCATTAATGATTTCCATACATGAATACAATGCACTTGACATTGATGTAAGTTGATTACGAATTTGTTCATTAGGCATTTTTTGAATTATATTTGCTTTTGAACCAGCATCAATTCCAACTGATCGTCCAATTGAAACATTTAAATCTGTACCAAATGTTAATGCTTGTAATTTATGTTCAATATGTACTTGAACATCATTATTTCTTGCAGCATTAACAATTATTTTTTCTAAACGATGTCGATCCATAGGTGGTGCAAGACTAATAAAACGTTTTAATTCAATTGTTTGATATACTTGTGATACTTGTTGAAGTAAACGTACAACAGTAACATCACGTAATGCAGGCATATATTGAGAATATTCTGGTTGTGCAAGTTTTTCAACAAATTTAATACCTTCTTCCATTTTCAATGATAAATGTAATGGATGAAATTCAACTTCTAACCATTCATAGATATCTTTAAGTTCAGGATGAACAAAATTTAAAACACCTTGTTTTATCATATCACGTATAAGACTTGCACGTGTTGGAACTTCTTGTAATGATAATAAACTTGTTAAACGTTTTTGTTTTTCATTTAATGTTTCTTCAGTTTCTAAATGTTCATCAATTTGTGTACGTGGTGTTGGTAATTGTATTGAAAGTATAGCCAATACTAAAATATATATATTTACAAGAAAGAAATTTATTTTAATTTATTTAAATAAATAAGACATACAAGCTTTTGTTGATAGACGTGTTAATTCCGTATGTGTTATATTCTTTTTTAATTCCTTATGTAAAACATATAGTTTAAGAACAGTTGTTGCATGAAAGACATAATTTCCTGCTTTCCAAAAGACTAATGCTACTTTATTATAATATGTAGCTAATTGTTGTGGTCTTGGTGTTTTCTTTGAAATTGTTGTAAAAGCATGAATGTCTTCAATTGCTTTAAATGCTTCCTAAAATTAAATTTTAATTGAAGTGAATTATTTTTTTTGTTGTTGTTAATCCATAAATCTTTAGCGTATAGCATCAATAAGATTTAAGTCTAATTTGAATAGATGTAAATATGTTTGAAAAAATTTAATGATAACATATTTTCGATTTTTTCTTATAAGGTTAAGCACGTAGCTCAAATTGAGCTAGTGATTTTAATAACCAATGAAATTAGACAACTCCATTGGCTACTAAAATCATTATTTCAATTCGAGCTAATCGCTTAACCTTATTTAAAAATAAATAAAAAATACGTTGTTGTTAAACTTTTTCCTATCATCTTACTTTATAAATCTTCATTGTAGTTTTATATTTAATTAAAACTTTATTTTATATGAGAAAAAAAAGAACATGTCTTTTATTTTATAAAACTAAATGAAACAAATAGTTCATGATTTAGTTGGTGCTCAGATTGAATCAAATACCTTTATCAAAAAAAGTAACAAATAGACGCAACGATAATTATTTGTGTACTTGATAGAAGAGTGATTTTTAATTCATTTTTCCACAAAACTCAATTTCCAGAAATGTGATTCCATCATCATACACAGTATCACACGAGAATGCAGATGACATGTGAAAAAAATGAAGATTTATCTTAATGGAATGAATTCAGAGATGATTTCACTCTGAAACGATAATTAAATATTGACATTCACATTTGAAAATTATCGAAATGTTACGAAAAGACTAAAAGCTATATTCGTTGGTGAGTATCAAAAAACGCTGTAGATAAAAGCTC